CACTTATTTATTTTGTATGTATGTGTGTACATCTGCATGTGCCATGGCATGCATGTGGATGTCAGAGGACAACTTGCAGGAGTTAGCTTTCTCCTTTCACCATGTGGATCCTGGGTATCGAACTCAGGTTGTCAGGCTTGGTGGCAAGTGCTCTACCTGCTCAGCCATCTTGCCAGCCCAGTTGCTTCCTTTTCTTTTTCGTGTATTTAGTTCTAATTTCTCCCATAGGCCCCAGCAGATCTGTAAAATATTTGTTCATGTTGTTTTCCAAATGCTTAAACATGTCAGATACTTTATTAATGTCTTGCCCAGAGACTGCCCACTGTAGTGTTTTCTATTCTCTTTTTTTTTCTTTATGTGTATGCATGTATTGCCTGCTTGTAGGTAAGTGCACCCATGTCGTGCAATGCCTGAGGAGGTCAGAAGAGGCTGTTGGATCCCCTGGGACTAGAGGTACGGACAGTTGTTAGCTGCCATGTGGGTGCTGGGATTCGAACCCAGGTCTTCTGCAAGAACAGTCAGTGTTCTTAACTGCTGAGCCATCTCTCCATCCCCCTCTATTCTCTTAATACAGTCAGGACAGATTTGTTTTTAGTTCGGTAACACAGCTTCCATTCCAAACATTTTGTCATCAGCCTTGTGTGTTGATTTAGCCTTCCATGCCCTAGATCTATTATTTTTCTCTTTCCTATTTATCAAAGCTTGTTTGGTTGTAGTCTCCTTAGACACAGGACAGGGTGACATTTTTGGTTACTTACATATCTGAAAGATATCTTTCTTATACTTCCATTTTATTTGCTTATTTTTATTTTTTGTGTATGAGTGCTTTTTTGTTGTTATTGTTGGGTTTTTTTATGTGTTATTTTTGAGACAAGGTCTCCCTGTAGCCCCAGCTGGCCTGGAACTCACTATGTAGACCAGGCTGGCCTCAAGCTCACAGAGCTCTGCCTGCCTCTGCCTCCCAAGGGCTGAGATTAAAGGCATGCACCACCATGCCTGGCTATGTATGAGTGTTTTGCCTGTATGTATGTAGGTGTGCAAAGCCTTTAGAGATCAGAAGATGGTGTCAGATCCCTTGAACGGACAGCTGTTAGCTGCTATATAGGTACTGGGAATTGTATTCAGGTCCTCTGCAAGAGCAGCCAGTGCTCTTAACTGCTGAGCCATCTCTCCAGTCCCTTACTACCATCTTTAAAAAAATTATTTTATGTATATGAGTGTCTGTATGTACATGTACCATGTGTGTAAGATGCCCACAGAGGCCAGAAGAGAGCATCAGATCCCCTGGAACCGGAGTCACTGACAGTTATGAGCCACCTTGCTGGTGCCAACTCCAGTCCTTTGCAAGGGCAGTAACTGCGCTTGACCACTGAGCCATTTTTCCAGCTCCCCCTGCCTCCCACCTTTTTTCAGACATGGTCTTGTTATATTGCTTAGGCTGGATTTGATCTCCTGGATTCAAGCTGTCCTCTTGCCTCACTCTCTTATGTGGTGAAATCACAGGTATATGACACCAAGCCCAATTTTCCCTCACTTTTATTAATAGTTGGAATTGTTGGAGAATTCTAGGTTAATAATCATTTTTGTTCCAAGTTTTGTTTAGAGACATTGCTGCACGGTCTTCCTGTATTGTGATGTTGTTTTCCTTTCTGTTCCTTGTTTTGGGGGGGGGTCTTTTTGAGACAGGGTCTCCCTGTAGTCCCACCTGTCCTGGAACTCACTATGTAGATCAGGCTGGCCTTGAACTCACAGAGATCCACGTGCCTCTGCCTCCCGAGTGCTGGGATTAAAGGCGTGTGCCACCACGCCCGGCTCTGTTCCATTTTTATTATCATTTTGGAAAGATTTTAGGATCTTCTCTTTTTTTCTACTGGTCTGACATCGCAGAAAGATGTACCCTTGATGTGATTCTTTTTCTCCCACTGTATTAGATGTAACATACTATTTAATCTGTAAAAGTTCTTTCAATTCAGGAAATATTTGTTATATCTCTTTCACAATCAATTTCACACCCAAGCATTTTCTTTTCCTTTGCTCACATAGCCTGTGTTCTTCTTTTCAGATCCTTTATTAGTTATATTTAGGTATTTGGCTTGATTTTCTAATTTCCTTAATTCCCTTCTCTGTCCCTCTGGTTCTTACTCTTGGTCCTTCTTTTCTGATGTTTTTCAGTTTGTGACCACAATTTATTTCTCTTGGAACTCTCTGTGGAAATTCCCAAGACCCGGATTGCAGAGTTGCTCATCGGGAAGCTTGCCTGGCTCCTGGTGGCACTCCGTGGTACTGCCAACCCCAAATCATTTGAAATACTTGCTATATTGTTTTTAGGAAGAAGTGATTTTAAAAGGTTTCAAAAGAGAATAAAATAAGGATTTCAGGCAAAAGCAATAAAAACACAGCTTGAAGTTATGAATTTTCTTCAAATATTTAAAAGGAAAAAAAAGTTCCAGTAGGTATTTTGCAAGTAACTTCCTCTGCAGTTCACTAGGGGCAGTTTGAGAGCTAAGGTTTTTAAGTTTTCTCTTACATGAGGATGTAGTGTTCCAACTTTATGTAGGGGATCTATTAGATTTCAAGACCTTAATGCTGTCTCCTATGCTACAGGGGCACACCATAAGGCCACCAGGCTCAAACTCAACTTTCGGTTATTTCTTTGGTATCAATTTTCATTAAAATTTTTTATGTGTATGCGCATATTGCCTGTATGTAGGTACATGCATCCGTGTTGCGCAATGCCCGTGGAGGTCAGAAGAGGCTGTCAGATCCCCTGGGACTGGAGTTACAGACAGTTGTTAGCTGCCATGTGGGTGCTGGGATTCGAACCTGGGTCTTCTGCAAGAACAACCAGTGTTCTTAACCACTGAGCCATCTCTCCATATTTTCATATTTTATTGCTCTTTTTTTTTTTTTGAGACAGGGTCTCACTGTAGCCCCAGCTGTCCTGGAACTCACTATGTAGACCAGGCTGGCCTTGAACTCACAGAGATGCTCCTGCTTCTGCCTCCCGAGTGCTGGGATTAAAGGTGTGCGCCACCACACCGGGCTTATTGCTCTTTTTGACAGTGTTTGCTTTCTTGTCAGCTCATGAACATACTTTTAAAATGTCTTTTTTTTGTGTGTGTATGTCATCCTAGCACTTGTGAGGCTGAAATGGAAGTATCCCTTGATCCATCTCAAAACCCAAACCAATAGAAACCCTACACAAGGCAGAGGATCTAGAGTAGTTAAAACAATTTTGAATTTTTATTTTATTTTAATTTTTTTATGTATATGAGTGTTTTGCTTGCATTGTCTGTGGAGGCTAGAAGAGCGTATTGGCTCCCCTGGAACTGGAGTTAAGGACAGCTGTTAGCTATCATGTGGGTGCTGGGAACAGAACCCAGGTTCTGCGCAAGAACAGCCAGTGAGGGCTCTTAACCACTGAGCCATCTCTCCAGCCCCTAAAACAATTTTGAAAAAGTAGAATAAGTGTCAAGTATAGTGATTACAGTATTGAGCTAGGTCACCCTGCTAACTTCTTATGGGACAGGTATGGAGGAGAACACCACTGGACACACACTTGATTCAAGGGTGTGCTTTTCACACACCCTTTCTTTTGCCATTTTTACATCTACTAAATTGGGATGTTTTACTGTTGCTATTAGTCAGACAGTAGTCACACTGTATTTGTCATACTGCTCATGATCATCAAAACTTGAAAAATGAGTGTCTGAGGCCAGGAAGAAAACTCCAGAGAGAAAAGGGGGAAGCATTTCTGCTCCTTAGGAAATGCTGCATCACCTTGATGACATGCACCCAGGACTGCATCAAGTGGAAACTCTTGGACATGGAGTAAAAACCATGAAGCATTAAGAATTAGTCTCTGGCCAGGCATGGTGGCATGCTTTTAATCCCAGCACTCAGGAGGCAGAGACAGGTGGATTTCTGTGAGATTGAGGTCAGCCTGGTCTACATAATGAGTTCCAGGCCAGCTGGGGCTACAGAGGGACCCTGTCTCAAAAAGACCAAAAAAAAAGTGTTTTAATTTGCATTTCCCCAATGAGTTCCAGGACAGCTGGGGCTACAGGGAGACCCTGTCTCAAAAATACCAAAAACCAAAACCAAAAAACCTCCCCAAACCCAACCACCCCAAAACAAAACACCCCCTAAGCTTTCAATAAATGAAAAATAAATATTCTAAGTAGTAAGAAAGCACAATCACATTTGTAACCATTTTTTTTTTAATGTGAGGCATAAAACAAGGATGGGTTTTGTAATTAATGTGTAAAGAAAAGAAAATTGTTTAAGTATTAAGAAGAAAAAATCGACTCCACTTAGTGAATTATTAGAGAAAGGGTAAAGACAAAAGTGTGTGTGTGTGGGGTGAGCTGGAGAGATAGCTTGTACTGCTCTAACAGAGCATTGGAGTTCGAGTCCCAGGGCCCACTTTGGGCCACTCACAACCTCCTCTAATTCTTGCTCCAGGGGGAACCAAGGCCTGACCTCAGCAGACACCTACACACACAAATGCACACAATTAAAAATAAAAATAGACCTGTCGGCTCGTTCTCGGAGTTGCTGGTAAGAGTTGGAAGGACACGGTGGCCGGGCGGCCGGGTATGGTCGCCATGAATGTACACACACACTGCTAAACCCGGCCCGCCGTACGACTCCAGAGTCCAGGGTTCTCTTAGGTTTGAGGGGCGTCGGGGGTGAGGGTGAGTTGGGGGTAGGATGGGGGCGGGCCCACGGGAGCGATATGATTGGCCGGAGCCACCAGCTCAGCGATTGGTTGGGAGGCGCCAAGAAAGGCCTACCTCAAGTTCTTGACTCCGCCCACCAGAGCCTGAAGGAGCCAGGTATTGGTCAGTGAAGGAGAGCGCCTTTCTGGAGAGGAGGTCTGTGATTAGTCCATCTTCAGGGGCGGAGCGAACAGGACATTCCGCGCGCGGGTTGGACCGTGGTCCCATGACGTCATATGGAAGGCGTGGTCATCACTAATAAAGCCAGGGGGCCGAGGCAGTAGCTGCAGTAAGTTCCACCGCAGTTAGTATTCCGGACGGTCTTCGGGACAGAGCTCTGCCGGCCCAGACGCAGCGTCTCCTAGCTGGGTGTCTCTCCGCATTCTCCAGAGAGGGGACGGACCTCCACTCTCTCTGTCAGAAAAATGTGAGTTGACTCTGGTTTAGGGTGCTCGACACCTCCTGGCCAGCTCTCACCCCCAGCGTCCGACTCTGCGGGACGGAAAATGGCGCATTGCAGCAGCTGCGGCGACACGGGGAACCACCGGCTCGCGCCGCCCCCAGACCGGGCCACCCCGTGATGTAGGCAGTGCTCCATCCCGCACCAGCCTCAGCTGGCACTCCACAGATGAGGCGGGGGGCGCAGGGGTCCCACAGTCATTGCACCCTCTCCTTTCGTCTGCGTGGCGCTGTGTTCTGGTCTTAGTATTAGGGGGCGAAGGTGAGGGGCATGGAGATAGACAGGTTAGGGAACTCGGAGACCCTTTTTTGTCTAACGGAATCTGTCCCTTAAATCCTCTGGAAAGACTTTTATTGGTGCACTTGTCTATTCGTAACTCGGGTTGCCCCCCAGTCTCTGGATTTGTGCATGCCCCTCGCCCAGAGTGTGATGTACCCGCCTCATGGCAGTGAGCAAAGCTGCAGAAACTTACTTGCCAGTTCTCTGGCGCCAGGTGAGCGGCTCAGAAAATCTCAGGGGACAGTGCTAATCTCATGCAGCTGTTCATGCTAAGGCCACCAGTACAGGAGGAGGTGCTTTCCAGTCACCAAGTCCTAGCCAAGTGTTGGAGGAGAAATAAGGATCCTTAGTCTCTTCATTTTCTCTAAAATCACAACAGTTTAGTCGGTAACTGTCTTCAACATCATCCTTTTCTGAAGCTGAAGATCTACAGCTAGACAAATTAAGGACGTCTCTTCAGGACCACACTATGATGAATGGGGGTTTTTCTTTCCATTTATTGTCTGGATCCCATGCCTAATTCTTGATGTATTTGTATGGCTTCTCTTGGTGACACAAAGGGAAGAGGGGAGGATTTGTTTGTGTTACATAAGGATTATAACTCCCTGGGCAGGTTACTGGGAGTATTTCCAGCTCCCAACAACTAATAAGTGAAGTGAGCGCTTCAAAACCTTTGTAGTCATCTCACCCTTTCTGTGTGAGTTCTGTGGTTTTACATTCTTTGCATTTTGGACAAGCGCATAGGTTCCAGTTGTTTCCATTTTTGGGGAGGGGATCCTTCTTGGCTGACTGGTTCCATGTGGGATGATTTGGAAGGAGGTAGAGGAAGCGTGGTGGCTAGCAGGGAATCACGAGGTCTCTGACCTTAATCTTGTCATTGGTGCCACCATCCTGGATGGCGTCCAGCACTAGCTGCTACCAACTCATTGAAATTTCTGCCTTCAGTCTAGAACTAGATTGCTTAGGTAGCTCAAGAGCAGCACAAGAATCTATGGCCCCCATGGCTCTGCATCATCTCTTCCTTTATATCTAGGAAGGAAATGGGAACACTTTAAATGGGAGAATGGCAGTGCAATCTGCTAATACAGTCTTTCCGAGGGACTATTACATCTTGTTCAGTCTAAAAGAATTTCAATTAGTTAAGGAAGAGGAGCTTCTGGGTATTAGTTCTGTTCTGATTAGTCAGGGAATTTACTTTTTTTGGTGACTTTATGATGGTTTAATGTCTATGGTATTTGTTCTCGGACTGCTTGGATTGCCCTGGTGAAGATATTTTGTTTCTTCAGGAGATTTCTATTCTCCATCAAATGTAGAAATCTCTTCTCACCTTGCCCCTCCCTTTTATCCCCCCACCCCCCGCCTTGGCAGGGAAAAATCTCATTCCTTAGGAGGTTTGACTTCAGGGAATTCTTTAGCTGGTGAATGTAGTGTTAAGATTTGGAGAGAAGCTTATCTTAAAGATGCCATACTGGATTATTCCCTTGTAAGGCTATGGGAGCCTTTTTCCCTGAGTAGTACCAAAAGAGAGAACATTCTTCATCACATGTATAGTAGTGTATACCAAGATTTCTCTTTGAGACATAGGGGATTAGTAAAGCCTCCTGAGACTCCTGCCAAGTCTCAAAAAGGAAGGGGACAGAGTGTCTGTGATATATGGACAGGGGGGACTATTTCTAGCATCTTTGTGCTCTTGGAACAGTTTCCACAACTAATGCAGTTGTTTTAGGCCCCAGGTTCAATTTAAGTGAAATCCCTGTTTTCTCTGCCAAAAACAGTGCAACAGCCCTGACTCACGCTACCTACACAGATTTTGCCTTTGGTGATTTGTCTTTGCAGCCAGTAACTGGAACCCCATAAGCAGAATCTCTCAGCTTGCCCCGTTTATATTCAGACTTTACAGTTTAATTGTCCTGAGGCTTTATTTTATTTTATTTTTTTTAACAAATCTCTCATTGGGTTTTCTCATTTTATCTCTCAGGAAAGCTTCCAATGGCCAGGACATTTCCATTTAGGTCAAGGCTGGCACATTTATCCCTATGGCCACCGTGCTGGAGGATGTGCTTGAGTTTGGGTCAGAGGCTAGCCCCCAAAACAGTCTCTTAATAGTGCTGTGAGCCCCACGCACATGTTGGAAGATCTGATCTTTGCTCTTTTGCTCCTTGTCACTGCTGTATCTCTCTTCTTGGGATTGCTGAGGAGCTAGCATGCTCTGTCTGCATGTAACATAATCTAAATTGCTTTGGTGGTATGAAGTGAGGATGCATGTGATTCTTTCCTTGTCTCAGTTGCTTTGTGTACTCTGTTTGCTTTTCTCCACAGGTCTGCTCCAGCTCAGCCACCCGCTGAAGGGACAGAAGGGGCTGCCCCAGGTGGGGGTCCCCCTGGCCCTCCTCCTAACTTGACCAGTAATAGACGACTACAGCAAACCCAGGCACAGGTGGAGGAGGTAGGTGGATAGCCACTTCTGTGAGAGTTTCCATATCAAGAAGCTGAGAAACAGAAAGGAACATCTTTTCTGTTTTCTTCTTTTTTGTAGGGAGAAAAGGGCCCTGGGAGGAAAAGCATCCCTTAGATACACAGGCCTTGGCTTGCAATCTCTCAGCCGATGCTCATTTCCTCTGTCTTGGGGGCGGGGAATCTCAGCAGCTTTGTTTCTGCATTCCACCCCCCCCAGGTGGTGGACATCATGCGTGTGAATGTGGACAAGGTCCTGGAGAGGGACCAGAAGCTGTCAGAGCTGGATGACCGAGCTGACGCCTTGCAGGCAGGAGCATCACAATTTGAGAGCAGTGCTGCCAAGCTAAAAAGGAAGTATTGGTGGAAAAACTGCAAGGTGAGTTTCTCTGCCTGGGGCTTTTCCTAGGTCTCATTTATGTATAAGGAAGAAATCCATTAGGGTCTGTCTTCCTCTCTTCTGTGTGATTCTTGGGGGAAAATTTGAAAGCCTTCTCCTTGATATGCATTACCTGTTTTAGCCACTAGGGTGGGCTAGAGTATTCAGAACCATGCACTGAGAAAGCCCTAGTGTGAGGAGTTCAGAATAACTAGTGCAGTAGTGTCTCTCCAGTGGAATCTTCTGCAAAAATTCTCACCTGGCCCTTCCTCAACCCTCAGCAGCAAGGCAGTGGCTTTGGTATATGTATTTAAATACCTGAAACTTCTGAAATGCACCAAACACTTCACAAAGTCTGCCTTTCCATTGGAGTTCCTTTAAACAACAGCAAAAACAAAAACCCAGCAACAGGAGTTAAGCAAAAATGAGGTTGCAGGTCTTTGTGCTGTTTCTGGGGTTATGATCCTATGGGAAGCAGAGGATTGAGGCCTCGCTGGAGGTCTGTGGGTGAAGGTGGATTTTTCTACTGTCTCAACGGTGAGAAAGTTCTCACCTCTTTGATCCTGGCTCCTTTCCTCCTTCCTCAAGTCCAAGGGCTCATGTTCTCTCCATGTTTCCTCAGATGATGATCATGCTGGGAGCTATTTGTGCCATCATCGTGGTAGTTATTGTAAGTAAGTATCGCTGAGGTTGCTGGTGGGGTGAAGAGGTGGGAAGGTTCCGGAGTCTTCTCCCAGCCCTGCCTGCCTGCCTGCCTGGGGAGTGGGGCTGCACTGACTGAGGTATGGAGACTGCTGCGGGGGGCTATCACCTGGTTTGGGAGGGAGGAAGGGCAAAGACAAGGAACTTCCTTGATGTACAAGCCTTCCCCCTGCAAGGAATTGTGAGGAGGTGGCCCCTTCTGCTCTGAGGAAGAGGCACTGTGCTGTTTGTCACTGGCTTGGGTCAGAGGGAAACCTTGGGGCTGGGGTACCTGTAACAGAGATGTCTGGCAACTTGGTGTAACTTGCCCTCTTGTTTTCTCCTGTCTCTTTCTCTTCTCCGTCTGGGACTTCCTGATTCCTGTGTCCAGTCTACTTTTTTACTTGAGAATGTGCTACCCCTTCCCTGTTCTCCATTGCCATCCAAGCTCGTGTCTTTCCCCTCTGTTTGCTCTCTCAACAAACTCCATCTACCTTTCTCCATCCCAGCCCAGGCTTCTCCATCATCCATCCCCCCTTTTTTGTTGCATTCACTTGCACTCTATTCCCAACACTAGAAATGCTGCTCGTGGCACAGTCTTGAAGTCACTATCTGAAGAGCAACAGCTGGCACCTCCTCCCTACCCACTTCTTGTGCACCCCACAGCTAAAAAGAGTTGGTGGCCCAGGGAAGGAGGAGGGGAAAGCCTGAGGTGAAGTGTCCAGAAGATGGCAAGGCTCGGGGGAGGAGAAGGGTGTTTGTGCCTGTGCAATCTCCTAGAAAGACTGGCCTTCAGTAGGACGGGACCATGAATAGTTGGGAAGTGGCAATAGCTTGCCCTACTGCCCTCATTTTGAACTTTTCTCCTATCCCAGACTTGTTTAGGGTTCTAGAGGCCTATGTAAAGGCCACCATTGAATCCTTCTTAGAAAGTCAGACTTTGGCGTATGTCTTTAGTCCCAGCACTTGGGAGACAGAGGCAGGCAAATCTGTGAGCTCAAGGCCAACCTGGTCTACATAGTGAGTTCCAGGCCAGCTGGGGCTACAGGAAGACTGTCTCAAAAAGACCAAAAAAAAAAAAAAAAGAAAAAGAAAAAAGACTTGACTTTTGTTGTTACCGCTTAACCATTAGTTCAAGATTGTCTTTGGATGACTCTCACTGCCTTTTATTTTGTTCTCTGTTGGCCTGGAAAACAAGCACTTATCAATTGCAGAAATAGCAGGATATTCTTATTTCCTGCTAGAAGCCATCCCATTTTCTTCTAATTAGGAGGAGCAGTCACTTCATGTTTTCTGAAGCATTCTGTGTTGGCACCAAATAATTTCATCTAGCCAAAGTTTGGGACTCGTAGTTTAATTATTGGCCTCAAGAGGGACTGCTTTAGACCAAAGTTCCAGGCCAGGTAGTGAGACCCTATCTCTGAAAAAAAATGGTGGGGGAGATGCTTGTTAGTTATAGAGAAATAGCGAGTCAGGGGTCTAATCTGAAAACTAACAGGCTTTGGAAAGGTGCTTCTTGCCATGTGTTGTTGATGAAAGTAGTGTTCCTCGCTGCTGGTGAAGGAAAATGAGTGTTCGATGGTAAGGCTGTCAGGCTCCCCTAGAACCCTTTCTTCCATACCACCCCTGTGGACTTGCCTAAGACGGATGAAGCAAGAGGTCCTTTGCAAGGCCTGGCTGACCCGAGGATTTAAAGAAGTCCAGCAGACCCAGCAGCTCCTTCTTGGATAGGAGGGGTGCCAGTCTGGGGCAGGTGTGCTTATGCATTGCTATGCTGTCTTGGGGCCTTGCGTCTGGACATGCCTCCTGCTCCTCCTTCAGGACCTTCTCCCCTGGAACCACCCTCATGTCTGCATTCCATACCACCTCCTTTCTTTTACTCCCCTTTGCATGCTCTGTGTATACAGATGGTGGAAGCTGAGAATGGGGGTACTCAGCCTGTCCTGGGAGCTACTGCTGAGCTTCAGGCTAGGATGCTACATGGGATAAACCCAGGTGCTAGGGGAGGAGGCAGACTGCAGTGGGCGGGGTGTGCTTGTGGCCCTTTATTCCTTCCGTCTCTGGTCCACAAGCAAGAAGAGGCTGGGGCCGTGCTAGCTGGGGCTGGATGCCAACTTCCATGCAGCAGCATTTCACTGTGCAAAACCATCCTTCCTTCCCCTTCACCCTGTTTCCCATGTTCCCTTCGTCCTGCCCCAGGGCGGGACTGAAGAGCTGGAAGAAAGCAGTCAGTACCCTCCCAACGTCCCCTTGGAAGGTCTCCACTCTCCTCTGGGCTCCTCTTTGCCTAATGCAGGGGGGTCACCGCTGAAGAACCGACACTGTCCTCGTTGTATCCCAAGGCTGGAGCAAATTCACCCTGTTGGCCCACCCAGCCCTAGCACAGGAATTACTTCCAGGGTTTCTGTCCCCTGAGGCTCACCAGGTGTAGTTGGCGTTGTTCTTTTGGGGGTGTTAGCCCTTCTTTCTTTCCTACCCCACCCTGAGCCCCCTTCTGTGTCTTTGCTGTTTCCTTTTCCTTCCACCACTCATGTGCATGTGCAAATGTGCAACTGAACCCTGGGACTTTGCAGTCAGTTGAAGCCAAGCTTCCCACATCCCCTTTTTTGGTTTGCCATGAGATGATGTGGGGTTTCCATTGTGTCTGTCATTACCTCTTTGTCTTTTTCCTAACCCAATCTCATAGTCATGTATAGAGTAATAAGAGTTGTACTTCACCAAAGGCATGTGACATATTTGTCAATTTCATGTATTCTGAACAAAGGCAAAAAATACAAATTCCTACCACTAAACTGACTTGCTTGTTGTTTGGGTTGGAGTGCTGGGGATGGGGATAAAAGGGTGTTGTCCAGTGTTGGCTAGAAGCCGGAAGGGCTGGCTTGTATGTGTTCTATAGTCTTCCTGGAGATTAAAGTCTGTATGTTGGCAGAGGAAGTGGTCTGTGTTTTCAGCCTTCATACCTGAAACAGCCCAGCTCTTGTAGGTGCTGGAGAGAGGAAGTGATGACAGGAAGCTGAGTGGGCTTCTCATGCTGGCAAACAACTTCAGGCTTTCTCAGGCTTCTCCTAGTTGCCACCAGGTGTCCACCTCCTTTCTCCATCCTCATGCACCACCCCCTTTAATTTATTTGTGGGTGTTGGGGTCTTTTTCGTTTGTTTAAGACAGGGTTTCACTATGTAGCCTTGGCTACCCTGGAACTCAACTATGTAGACAAGGCTAGCCTCAAACTCATAGGGCTCTGCCTGCTTCTGCCTCCTGAGTGCTGGGATTTTTTATTTAATTTTTAAAAAATTTTATGTGTATGTGTGTATTGCCTGCATGTAGCTAAGTGCACCCATGTTGTGCAATGCCCGCAGAGGTCAGAGGAGGCTGTCGGATTCCCTGGAATTGGAGTTACGGACAGTTGTTAGCTGCCATGTAGGTGCTGGGATTCGAACCCGGGTCTTCTGCAAGAACAACGTGTTCTTAACTGCTGAGCCATCACTCCATCCCCTTGATTATTTCTTATGTGTATGAGTGTTTGCTTACATTTATCTGAGTGCATCCATGTTGTTCAATGCCCACAGAGGCCAGAAGAGGACACTGGATCCCCTGGAACTGGAGTTACGGATGGTTCTTAGCTGCCATGTGGGTGCTGGGAACTGAACCCAGGTCCTCTACAAGAGCAGCCAGGGCTCTTAACTGCTGAGCCATCTCTCCAGCCTCTAGTCTTTGGTAATATACCTCATAACCCACAGTGTTCATATGCCAACTTGTGTCTACCAGGTACTTTGTAGAAATGAGTATGGGAATCTCTCCCTTGAAGTTGAGGGTGTGAAGTTTCACGTAACTTGAAACTCCTTGCAGCTGTTGGGAGGATCCGAACCTGAGTTTCAGCTCCTGTTACACAGCTATAGAGATGTAGTTGTGGCAGGCCTCTGAATGCCTCTGCTCCATACCCTTATATGCTGCAAGTTGAAGCAGGACTGGAGACCGGGGTTTGGTTGGGACCAGCAGGGAGAAGGACAGGAAAATAGAAATGCTTTGCCTCTGCAAATTCAAAGTGCTTTTATTTTGACAGAGGTTTAGAGTTTGCGAGTGGTGGCCGGCCCCTGCCCTCTTCCCCTTTGTCCCTTACTTGCTCCGTTCTTGATTTCTTCCTGTTTCTTACCACCTCACCTCCAATATGGCCCTTTGGTGTGAGTCTCCACCCAGATCACTGTACCCTTCTGTTGTCCCCTCACTTCTCATCAGCCTGGGCACAGATCCAGATCAGGACCAGTACCCCTCACCCCCACACATGGTGCCTCTTTTGGGCCTTTCTCAGCTCCATGCCTCAGCATAAGTTTCTTTTGATAGAACATACGTCCTGTACTTTTTCCTCGGAGGCCAGAGAGTGGCTACCCAAAGTGTCTCATGGTCTTGGCAGGCCTTGGTGAAGGAGCTAGGAGAAAACAGAACAAGGTTGGTTTCATTTGGGTTAATTCCAAAGGCAGGGGTTGTCGGGGGTGGTAGTGGTGGCAGCATCTGGAACTCAGGACACCGAGCTTCATTCATCTCTGGTCTGGGTGGGGAGGTACTTAGAGTGGGTTGATTTACAAACTCACCTTGCTATCTGTGAAGACCCAGGAACAACAGCGTAAGAAGGAAGAGAATGCTGGCAAAGATGACTCCAAAGACCATTCTCTGCTCTGTGGGTAAGAATGAGTACAGGAGTCAGGTGCTGAGCCCTCACCTCCTGCATCCCCCTCCCCCCCAGGAGGAGGGCTGGCCTTGTGCTTGTGAATCCCTGGTGCAGGAGCTTGGACCATACACATAGCAGCACCTGAGCTCGCTCAGAATTGTCAGATTTATATGTGATACTCTACACAGTTCTCTGCCTCTCCCCATATCAGGATTGTGGAGGTTTTTTTTGAGACACGGTCTCACTTATTCAGCCCAAACCTGGTTTTGAACTCAAAATCCTTCTGCTTCTGCCTCTTAGTGCTGAGGCTCTAGGTGCATACCACTATACCCTACTCCACCTTAGGACATTTAAAAAAGTGCTTTGCAAAGGAGATTTAAGTTATCCTAGTAACTGACAGTTAAGCTGGGATTTTGTAAGTAGCTGGGGAATAATGTGAGCCAAAGCAAAACTAGCTTTGGGGGAAGCTCCTAGTCTAGGGAGCAATCAAATGATGTCTCTTGGTATTTGCATCTTGAGGTGAATTTTTCCTGCTTAAAACTGTGTGACGATGGGGGCTGGAGAGATGGCTCAGTAGTTAAGGGCACTGGTTGCTCTTGCAGAGGACCTGAGTTCGATTCCCACATGGCGGCTAACAACTGTCCATAGCTCCAGTTCCAGGGGATCCAATGCACTCTTCTGACCTCCATGGGCATTGCATGACCCGGGTGCACTTAGATACATTCAGGCAATACACTCATACCCATAAAATAAAAATAATAAAATATTTTAAAAATTAAATCGTGTGGTGTTTTTGGCTTACAGGATCAAGTTCTGGTTTGTGGCTTATTGAGGTAATGGTGGAAGCTTGGAAGGAGATTCACTCTGCCTTGTTACATTTTCTGTTACAATTTAATGGTAAGGGAGTCTTGGGCAAATTACTCAGGGTCTGCAAATATCAGCTCACTCATCTGTGTAATGGGAATTGTGCTGGGCATGGTGATGTGTGCCTATAGTTCGGGCTGTTTGGAAGACTGAACAGGAGGATTGCTTGAACCTGTGAGTTTGAAACCAGCCTGAGCAACATAGTAAAACTTACCCTTTCTAAAAATAAGTCAATACAAGTTATAATACATAAGGTCATACTTAAAATTTGATATACACTGCTTTTGATTCATGTAAATGTCCAGTAATAATTACATTGACATTTCAGAGCCCCTTCCTCTTTTTCTTCTATATCCTCGGTTATAACCATGTTCTTTTGATTTTCTGTAGGCTGTTGTACAATTTGACCTGACATGTGCTGTGCTTTCAGTCTTAAGGGTTTCCTTCCCCCAAGCTAGCTAACTGGGCTCAAGTGTCTCCTTTGAGTCATCTTCCCTGTCTGCCCAGACTTGTTCTCCTGGTGGACTAAGCCCCCAGTGGGAAGGATCAGGACTCTCCTTCAACACTGATCTTTAACCCAAGCATCTTATCTGAAACTGGGGTGTAATGAAGTCTCAGGGGAAGTGTGGTGGAAGCAGTAGAGGCCACCACTGTGAGGAAGATGGAAAGAGGTAGTGGGACTGAGCAAAGCTCATGGGCAGCAACACAAGGCCAAAGATGATCTGGAGGTGAGAAAGCCCCAAGCCCAAGTATGGAGGTGGGGAAAGGACACTCCAAGTACCTGTGTGTGGAACAACCTTTGTGCTGACTCTAAGGGGCTCCTCCAGGGAGATGTGGGTGACTTGGCAGATGTAAGTGGCACCTGTGGGACCAGGTTCGGCTGTCACAGTAGAAGAGATGCTGTAGGTGCCTGCCATGCTTTGCCTGAGGCTGGAGAAGGAGGCACCAGAGATTTGGGCTGGGATTCCACTTGGCTCCTCTCGAATCCACGTCACCACCACATCCAGAGGGTAATAGCCAGCAACACTGCAGATAAGGGTGGGCAGCAGAGCCCCATTTGCCAAGCTCACTTGTACTTTCGGGGGAGCTGGAGAAAGAACAAAGATCACAGAGGTGTCTAGGGCCAGTAGAGGAGCCTAAAGCCTTCTCTTGGGAGAGAATGTAGGTTATGGAGACTAAAGCCAATGAAAGGCTGGCTTAGTTTATTATTTTTTTTTAATACAGCTGGGGATTGGACCTAGGGCTTCACATATCAGATGCTGTGCCATTGAGCTACACCCCAAGTCCCTTGGTTTGTTCGTCATGTCTGCAAGCCAGTGATTACTCAAAACCACTCCTTTCACCCTTCCTTGGTTGCTGCCCCTCCTTAGAATGTGGTCCAGACAGACTGAAGTGATTACAGATGCTGCCCAGGGCATTGGGATCCTGGGCTGGTTGTTTTGGGGGAATTATCTTGGAGTAAAATGGGACCCCTCATCTGATGGCATCTGTGCCTCCAGGATGAAGATGGTATTTAGATTGTGGGAATGTACTCTGCCTCTTAGGAAGTAGCCTTTGGGTTTGGATTCTGATCTGGAAAATACTTCCAATAAGCATATCCCTTTCCCTTCAAAAGAACTAAGGCCTGTCCTTACCTTGAATGCTGAGGTGGATGATTTGTTGAACCTGGTACAGAGAGGTAGTGATCTGGCAGATGTAGGCCCCTTCGTCCTTTAGAGTGAGGCCGGGTAAGGTGAGAGAGGCATTCCCAGCTGTGAGTAGCTGCTCAGGCCCCAGGGTTGCACCCTCTCGCTTGGCCTGCCCCTGCCCTGTCTTCCAACTGTATACAAGCTGGCCACTGCCCTTATGCTGCAGCCGCCACTCCACACCAAGGAGATCCAGGCCTGGTGCCATGGAGAAACCACAGTACAGGGAGGCCGAAGACCCCAGCAGATGATTCTGGGATTGGGTATCTGTTGTCACCTGGAACTCCACTGTAGAGAGGAGAAAAGGGTGACTTGTGGTCTGTTTCCTTCTTGAAGTCACCTGGCCTCTGAACCGTGGACACATAGCTTCTCCAGCCCCTTGCCCTGGGCAGGGATACCATTGAGTTCATTTCCTGTCCTCTGGAACCACAAATAAATGAGGCTCTGGAAGGGCAGCGTGGCACACATGATGGCCTGAACCGCATTGGGGTTACTTAGACTTTGGATGGTCTGATTAAAGCTTTGGATTCCTCACCAGCAAAAAACGACATGTAACATTACAAATTGCTATCGATTCTTGGTAAGAACTACCAGGGCAGCAGACAGTGCTCTGGAACCCTGGTTTTTCCACTCACTGGCTCTGACCGACAAGTCTCCCAGTGTTGCCAAACTTGTCTGCTTAAACCAGGCTACTGTGAAGACTATGAAAAAGAGTTTAAAAGTAGCCAGGTGTGATGATGCAGGCCTGTAATTCCAGCACTCAGGAGGCAGAGGAAGGAGGAGCTCTGCAAGTTCAAGATTAACCTGGTTTATATAGTTTCAGAACAGCGCTACATAACATAGTAAGACCCAGTTTCAAAAAAGCAGAAAGGGATGCAGTGGCTCACGTCTGTGATCCAGCACTTGGGAGGTAGAGGGAGGAGGATCAGGAGTTCAAGATCATCCTTATTACATAAGGCCAATCTGGGCTGCATGAGATAATGTCTCAAAACACACATACACATACACACACACACACACACACACACACACACACACACATACCCCACAACAAAAATAAAACCCAAACAGTTTTAAAGTACATACTAGGGCTGGAGAGATGACTCAGTAGTTAAAGGCATTGGCTGCTCTTGCAGAGGACCTGGGTTCAGTTCCCAGAACCCACATGGTGCCTAGCAACCATACTTCTGCCAGCATTGCACCAAGGGTGCACTTACATACATGCAAGCAAAACACTCATATACATAAGATAAAAATAAATTTTTTGAAATTATTTTTTGGTCTTTTTGAAACAGGGTCTCCCTGTAGCCCCAGCTGGCCTGGAACTCACTATGTATAAATAAATTTTTTTAAATTAAAAAAAAAATACTAGCCAGCTGTAGTGGCACACATACAGTCCCTGCACTCAGACAGCTGAGGCAGGAGGATTGATAGGTTGAGGTCACCCTGAGCTATGTAGCAAGGCCCTATTAAAAAAAATGAAACAATGGGGCTGGAGAAATGGCTCAGCAGTTAAGAGCATTGAGTGCTCTTGCAGAGGACCCAGGTTCAATTCCCAGTGTCCATATGGCAACTAACAACCAGCTGTAACTCCAGTTCCAGGGAATCTGATGTCCTCTTCTGACTTCCATAGGCACTGCATGACATGGGTGCACTTACCTAAATGCAGACAAAACAATACACATTAAAAAAATTTATATATATATATATATATATATATATATATCTCCACAAGTGATAGCTGTGCCAAACACATTTAACTGAAATATAATCATAAGGGAAATAGACAAATCCAGATTGTGGGATATTTTATAAGAAAATTAGCCTAGACTTCAAAAATGTCCAAGTTTCTGCACCTGGTGGTACATGCCCATAACCCTGGTACCCAGAGGCAGAAGGATCAGCCTGAGTTTGAGGCCAGCCTGGTAGCCTGATCTACCTAGAAAACTCCAGGTCAGCCTGAAACAGTTTATCAATCAATCAATCAATCAATCAATCAATCAATCAATGCTATGAAAGATTGTTCTTTTTTAAAAAAAATTTATTTTATGTGTATGAGTGTTATGCCTGTATGTAGGTAAGTGCACCTGTGTTGTGCAGAAAGATTTTTCTAACTGAAAGACAAGGGACAACTGAATGCTCCAGTGGAAGGAAGGTCTTTACTTGAATCCTGGGCAAAGAACATTATGAGACAATTGGAGAAATTTAAATTTAGACTTTACATTTGAGAGTATGATATGAATTTAAAAATACCATAAGAATGATGACCAGTAGCTTGCCAAGCACTGGAGGGGGAGATGGGAACTGTGTGCCTGGTGGGGAGGAATACCTTATTACTGACACGGTTCAGAATTTCCAGTGTATGGTGATGCTGGGATAGAGCCTTCTCATGTTTAGTTGATTTTATTATCATTAAATTATTTTTCTTTTCCTTTTTGTTTGTTTTTGGTTTGCTTTTGAGACAGGATCTCATTATGTAGCCCATGATCTGCATGCCTCAGTCTCCCGAGTGCTAGGATTACAGATGTGCACAACCACACTCAGCTTTCTTTTTTTGTCTTTTTGAGACAGGGTTTCCCTGTAGCCCCAGCTGTCCTGGAACTTGCTATGTAGAGAAGGCTGGCCTCGAACTCACAGAGATCCGCCTGTCTCTGCCTCCTGAGTGCTGGGATTAAAGGCATGCACCACCATGTCCGGCTCAGCTTTCTTATGTAAGCCTTTGTGCACTGTACCCCTTATCTGTACCATGAGTAGCCTCTGCCTCAGCCATGCTTCTGAGGTGATTGTTTTGTGTTTATAAAGCAGAATGCCCTTGACTTTCAGCTGTGAATTATAGCTACGTGGGCACATTGAAGGTGAAGTGTTGGACCTACAGTCTACTCAGTTCAGGGGGAAATATGCATCTATATTTTAGAAGAGGCAGAGAGAGAAGGGAGGAAAGGAGAGGAAGTATGGCCAAGTGGTAATGGTAATATTCATGTACCTACAAGAATGGTAATACTTGTGTATCTACATTGTTTCATTTTATTTTTGTAGGTTTGAATAATCTCAAAATAAAAAGGGGAACAAACTGAACAAATTCCAGCACAGACATGGGGGAGTAGGTAAAAAACCCAAACCTACCTGAGAACGATTGGCAACTAGAGGCTGCTGGGAGGGGAAGAGTCAGTCTTAAGGGTGAGTCTCTTGGTAGGTTAATCAGGCTCTAGAAGATGGACCCACACTGAAGAGCATTTGGAGACACAAATTTGACTCTATATGCATATGATAGAGTACATGAAATTGCGTGTGGGGTAATAAGGGGGTGCAGTTTGGGGAGGAGATCTAATATGATCAAAATATATTGTATGAGATTTCTAAAAATTCAATTAAAAATAAATAAAAAGGGAGGACTATGAAGCCATTCAAGGCCTATGGCAGATGGTGGACAGATGTGAAACCTTTGTTTTCTGCCATGTCAGGGGACATTTAGGATGGGCCTTAGAGTAAGAGGCCTGGTGGTACATGCCTCTAATATCCTCTCAGGTGGAAAAACAGCACCACAAGTTCAAGGCCTGCCTAGGCACTTTGGTGAGACCATCTCAAAGTGAAAACTGAAGAAAGGGTTGTAGCTGTGGCTCAGTGGTTGCTTAGCATACGTGAGGCTCTGGGTTCAATCCTCAAAAAAAAAAAAAAAAAAAAAAGAATGTTTTAGGGACTTCCAGGGATAGGAGGAAGCCCTCTCATCTTCTGTGAGCTTAATGGTCTCTTCTCGGAGGCAAATTATTGAATTGGGCTCTCCAGATACCAGCTATTATGTTCTCAATATTTTGGGCCTAGTAGGAGGTACTAGGTTGGAGAGGACAAAGGCTGAGGTTTCCTGAGAGCTGTAGAACAGATGCTGTCTCCCCATGCTCTGCTGTAATTACTCTGAAGCACCAGACCAGCCTCGGTTTTCACTGGGAGAAAACTGGTGCTTGGTTCAATAAGATGATGATAGACAACATCTGTAAATAGAATTGTCTCATGTGTCGTTTCCTCAAGACAGTGCAGTGATAAACATCATCTCCATTTTGGAGATAATATACAGGTGAGTTTTATACTTTGACCTTTTCACAAGTCGGAACCTCCCAACATTCTCCTCTTCTGGACTCAGAATATTTTAGAAAGCAAAGACCAAGCCCTACAAGGTACCCTGGGAGGACCTGCATGGTAGATGATAGATGTTGTTTCCTTCCTTCTATGCCATATCTCAACACTTCAAAACCATGAAACCTGGGGTTGGTGAGTTGGCACAGTGGGTAAAAGCACTTGCTGCCAAGCGTGATGAGCTGAGTTCAATCCCTGGAACTCATCTAGGGGAACTGATTCCTGCAAGTTGTCCTCTGACCTCCACCTGAGTGCTATGGCATGTGTGCACCTGTACACATACACACACCACATACACACACATGCAATAAATAAATAGGGCTAAAGAGATGGCTCAGAGGTTAAGAGCATTGGCTGCTCTTGCAGAGGACCCAGGTTTGGCACCCAGGACCCACATGGTGGCTAACAACTATCTCTAACTTCAGTTCCAGGGGATCCAGTGTCCTCTTCTGATCTCTGCAGGCATTGCATACATGTGGTGCACCTACATACATGCAGGCAAAACACTCATACACATAAAAAAACAAAACAAAGCAAAAAACTAATAAAAAATTTAAAATAGAAACCTTTCTTCCACTACCGGCTTTTTATTTTCTTACCTGCAGTCTGCACAGTCCCCTGGGGGCTCAGAGGTAGGTTCAGCATGGGGTGCCAGACAGCTCCATTCTCAGTATTCTTGAGGGTCTTCATCACCAGGGAGACACTGGGTCCTGCTTGAGATATCTGCAGGTTGGTGATGAACCAAGTTGCTGTCTCAACATTGGCCTCTTGTGTGGTCTGGAGAAAATACTGGGATATTTCACAGGTCACCTCTTTCCCATTGCAGTCAGCATGGAGCAAAGCCTCCGCCTGGGGAATCTGTACCAAGTCCACTGCAGAGAAGGGTGACACAGAGGTGGTGTTGGGTGGGGAGTGCATGCGGATGGATATACTTGGGAACTGTGTGGTCGCAGTGGAGGGAGCCCAGGGTGAAAGGTTTTTACCTGAGGCTTCGAAGATGACAGGTGGGTCATCTTCGGCCACTGGGCCCCCTTGGAAATCAGTGATGCCTTCTAGGGAACCATCATCCGGCACTGGCACCTGCTTCAACACAAGCAAGGCCTTCTCCCTGTTCCCACTGCTGGCAAAAGTTCCCCGGTGCCTGTCTTCTATTACCAAGAAGCAGTCTAAGATGATGTCCACCGCCTGCCACTGCCTTTCTGCTTTGGGGGCCTCTATGGGGAAAAGGCTGGGATGAGTAACCTCTTGCCCAGGGTTTGTCTCCACACTTTCTTCTTGCCCCTCCCTAAGCCACGCACTGATGGGGAGTGAAAGTTGCCTTCGGTGTCCTGTCTTGTCTCTGTTGTCATAGTCTGTCCTCTATAAAACCAGCTTTCTGGGAAGCACCTGCTACTCCAGGCAACTACTTGATGGTGTGATTTGAAGTTCTAGAGCTGTCTTGATCAGAGCCAGAGGGGTTTTTATTTCCAACTGTGGAATGCAAGATTATTTCTTGAAAGGAATTCCCAGTAAAAACAAACAAGCAGCTCGAGTGATGGATAGGTCTCGAATCCCAGCACTCCGGAGGCAGAGACAGGTGGACCTCTGAGTTCAAGGCCAGCCTGGTCTACCTAGCGAGTTCCAGGTCAAGGTGCTACAGGGAGACCCTGTCTCAGAAAACGAAAAACCAAACCCAAACACACACATCCCAAAACACCAAAGGAGCAAATACTGCCTTGGGGGAAGAAGAGCTGGGACGCCTGCTGTTGCCAGGGGTGCTGACCACCATCTTGTTCCCCAACCTGCCCAGAGTCTATTCTGCTTTCTGCCATTGCTGTGGCCACTCCTCTCCCACCAGGAGTTACCTCCCTAGTGGCTTCTGGGTCTGGGAAGCTCCTTCCTCCTCTAAGGGGTCAGCTCCCGGGTCAGTGCCTTCTCCCATGGGATGGCGGAACCGGCTCCTTCCCAGAGGAAGTCCTTTTCTCTACTCTTTCCCCTGCGGAGTGCTCAGCCTCCCCCTCCCCCTCCCCCTCCCCCTCACAATTGGTTCCTCACTTTGCTAGTGCCCGGGGGCTTAGAAGGCAATAGGAAGCCATAGCCGGTCTGGGGAGGTGGCTTCCCGGGACTCTCAGCTCAGCACTCCCCATCTCGACCCTCCCCCCCGCACCAGCCTCACTCACCGGTTCCTGCCGCCCCGGTGAGAACCAAGCAGAGCAGCAGACACCAGCCGGGCTCCCAGCCCATGGAGGCTGCTCTCAGGGCCCCTCCTCACCTGCCACCCCCTCCAATGTCCCCCTGCCTGCGAGCCAGGCCGAAGAGGGAGCTCTCAGCATACCCCTCGCTTGGCTAGCCGCCTGTGGAATCCTCTATCCTCCCAGCCTGCTTCTCTTTCACTTTCACTTAGGGAAGTGGCTTCAACTGCCTGTACCTGAAGCCATTTGTAGCAGCTGCCCGAGCCCTGTTGACTGTTCTCCTTTCTGTCCACCCCGCACCCCCAAAAAATCCCCAGGTGATTTCAAGACCTGACATCTCTGCATTGTTTTACTTCCCATCAGTCATAACGCTAAGAAATGGAGAGAGGTGAGGGAGCCAGAAGCTGGTCCCCAGTGGTCCGGAACCTATCGTTCTCTTCTGACCATGGGAAACCTGATGGTGGACTGCCCTGGTGACAGCTTCCTGTTGAGATCCCTGATCCCACGGATAAGGCTGAGAGTGACCTGGCTGGGAGACTGACATTTGAGAAAACTGGAGAGCTACAGTGTGGAGCCCGCACCTTAAATTTTATTTTTACCTCTGTGGATATGGTGTGAGTGGTGTGTGTGTGTGTGTGTGTGTGTGTGTGTGTGTGTGTGTGTGTGTGTGTGTGTGTAATACACAAGTGTGGGGTGGGGGTGCACACCCATGCTTGTGTGTGGAGGCTGCTGAGGACATGGGGTATCCTGCTCTATCACTCTTGGCCTTACTCCTTTGAGGCAGGGTCTCTCACTGAACTTGGAGCTAGGTTGGTGGCTGGCAAGTGCCAGCAATCCTCCTGTCTCCATTCCCACACCAAGCAGTTGAATCACAAGCACACAGGATGACCTCCAGAATTTTGGCTTTGTTTTGTTTTTTGAGACAGGATCTCACTATGTAGACCTGGCTGACCTCAAACTCACAGGGATTCACCTGCCTCTGCCTATTGAATGCTGGAATTAAAGGCAAGCACCACCACAGGGTCTCCCTGCAGCCCTAGCTAGCCTGGAACTCTCTAAGTAGACCAGGCTAGCCTCAAACTCACAACTCATGGAGTCACCTGCCTCTACCTCCCAAGTGCTATGCCACCACACTTGGAGATGTTTCCTCCTCCTCCTCTTCTTCCTCCTCCCCCCCTCCTCCTTTTCCTCCTCTTCCTCCTCCTCCTCTTCTTCTTTTCTTCTTCCTCCTCTTCCTCTTCTTCTTCCTCCTCTTCCTCCTCCTCTTCCTCCTTCTCCTCCTCTTTTCTCCTCCTTTGATTTTTTTTGAGACAGGGCCTCCCTGTAGCCCCAGCTGGCCTGGAACTCACTATGTAGACCAGGCTGGCCTCAAACTCACAGAGATCTGCCTGCCTCTGCCTCCCAAGTGCTGGAACTAAAGGTGTGTGCCACCATGCCTGGCTGAGATGTGTGATTTTCACAGTCAACATTATTAGAGTTCCTGGGTCCTAAGGCCTGGCTCTGGGTTCCAATGTTTGCCCACATTAAGAGAAAGGACGCTTTATGGAGAAACGGAAAAATGAATTTATTTACAGTTTTGGCTTAAACTGAGAGAGTCCCAGTCTTTCTCTGCTCGAAGTTGTATCACAACTTATAGAAAAGAAGAAACAAAAGCCAGGAAGGGTGTGTGTACGTAGACAGCCTTTCTCCTGGGAGCTCAGTCCTTCTGGCACTAGGGCTTCTACAGATGGGCCATCTTCACCTTCAGAGTGGAATCTTCCCTGCTGTAGGGCTCCCCTGACAGTAAGTGTGTTTTACAGCTGGAACCTGGGCCCTCCCAAGCTTGCTGGGTCAGTGCACACTTCGGGAATCCTGTCCTCATCACTCTGTCTCAGTGTACAGAGGAAAGGGTTCTGATGATGATGGTAGTGCAGTAGGCCACCAGCCAGATCTCTGGATGGCACCCCAATGGAAAGGGCCCCGCCCAGCAGCCAGCTCAAAGGTAGGAAGTAGGCTCTGGTTTTCGGTAGTCTTCCTGGACAGGGATGGCACTGCCCTCCTCCTCCCTGGGGCAGCTGTAAGGACAAAGCTCTGCAGGCTCTGCCTGGCTTTCTTCTTTGTCTGTGAAAGGAGAATCAGCCATGTCTTCGCCAGCGGTGGGGAGAGAAGGAGCAGAGGAGGGGAAGCTTAGGGGAGGCTGTGGGGAGGGCATCAGTGAAGAGGAGAGAACAGGTGGGTGAAGATAGGGCTGGGGTGGTTTCAGGCATAGGCGGCAGGGCTGGGATGGTGGGGTGGGAACAGGCCAAGAGGCCTGTCTCTTACTTGGTCCATGTTTTCTTCTTTGATAGAGGAATAAAATTCCACCCAGAGTGAAAACAAGGAGCATTCCGGAGAAGGTCACAAAGATGCGGATATAATCTGAGCTGTACAGGAGTCTTCGGGCTATGATAGGCAAGGGTACCCAGAGGCTTGGGAGGAAGGCCTAACCCTTGACTCCCTCAGCCCAGTCCATCCTTTCACTCATCACCCCTTCCCTGATTGGACCAGTTCCCCTCCTAATCCCTAGCTAAATTTTGCTTCCCTTGCCTGCCCCTCCCTCTCCCTCCCTCTCCCTCCCTCCCTTCCTCTCTTTCCCTTCTTCCTTCTTTCCTCTTTATCTCTCTGCTGTGTGGTGTGCACTGAATCCATGTGCACACACACACACACACACATACACACACACACACACGCAGTCACCACTTTATTCCCTTGAGACAGTCTCTCACTGAACCAGAAGCCTTGCTGTTCCAGCTAGGCTGACTGGCCAGTGAGCTCCTGGGATCTGCCCGTGAATACTGGGGTTCCAGGCACATGCAGCCGTGCCAAGCTTTTTTTTTACATGGGAGCCGGGGATTTAAACTCAAGTTCTCACTTCCTGCTTGCATGGTAGGCACCCTTACCCACCGAGCTATTTCCTTAGCCCCCCAACTGCTTTTCTCATCTCTACTCCTAGGGGTTTCTGGTGGCTGTCCTGGGGTGCTTTCTCTGTGGGATGGGGATTAGGGAGAAAACTCACATGACCAGTAGGTAGAGAGAGTTGGAGCAGGAAACTGCCTGAAGTCAGCCGCAGTCTGCACAAGCCAGACTGTCCTGTGCGGCTCTGAAAAAACAGATAGAGTGGCAGCAGGGAACCCTGAGGAAGCCCTGGGCTGGAAGGGGTGGCTCTGCAGGAGACAGGGAAGGACAAGCTGACCAGGAGCTTAGCTGGGGGTAGGTGCTGGGGTGGGCACAAGACTGGGCAAAAGGTGACCTACTACGTACCTTTGGCAGACGGTAAGAGGGTGGGTGGTGGGTGTGAACTTGGGGCCTCAGACGGCTGTCTGGTCGGCGAGGGGTTTGGAAGGGGGTCACACTCGGTGCATTCCTTGTCCCTGCACTGCCAGCCCTCGCGGCATGCACACTCAGCATTGGCAGTGACGGTGCAGTTGCGGATGAGAAGACCTGGGGAGAGGAGCGCCAGGAGGCAATGGGACACTCAGGCCTTGTGACCGTGACCTGTGGAGTCTGCTTGCTAGCCCTTGACCCTCATCTTAGGCCTGCTGAAGGGACATGTATGCTTCTTTCCCACCACCTTACCCACTCCCCACACCTGCCCCTCCCTCACTTGTCCCTGCTGTCTTGCTATTGTTACTGAAGAAACAGTTGGACATAGCTCATGCTGTTAACTGCAGCTGTGCTGGGCAGCTTTAGTGTCAACTTGACACGTCTGTGTTGAGGGAGTCTCAACTGGGGAACTGCCTCCATTGGACTGGCCTGTGGCCATGTCTGTGGGGTTATTTTCTTGATTGTTGAGTGATGTATGAGGGCCCAGCCCACTGTGGGTGGTGCCACACCTGGGCAGGTTGTTCTGTATTGTATAGGAAAGCAGGCTGAGCATGGGCCAGAGAAGCAAGCCAGTAAGCAGCGTTCCTCCATGGCCTATGCGTCAGCTCCTGCCTCCAGGTTCCTGCCCTGAGTTCTTACCTTGGGCTCGCTAGGTGATGAACTGTGACCTGGAAGTTTAAGCCAAATAACCGCCCCCCCAAGTTGGTACTAGTCAGGGTGTTTTATCACAGCAATGGAAGGCAGACTAGAACATTCTCTCTTCTTGCTGTAGAGTGTTCTATGGTATGGCTAGATCACCATTCATCCAACCATTCTGCTACCAGTGGGCATTTGAGGAATCTCCAGTTTTTAACCATTAGGAATAGTGTCCCTATTATCCCTGGTCTTGGTTTTTTGTTTACTAGAGAATAACTTGATTGTAGGCAACCTTTGCCCTTAAAATATAAATTTTATTTTAGATAAGAGCCAGGTGCTGGGTGCTGCCAGTCAGTTATATCAGGGGGTGGATGGTAAGGGTTCTGTGATGGCCTTACAGGCTGTTGAGAGGGAAGGTGACTCCCAGAAAGGCAGCAGCATCTGGATTTGAGACAACACTCTAGGGGGCTCAGGTAGCCTTAGGAACCCACACAGATAGAACAGAGCTGTAGAAAGGGAGGATGACAAGACTATCATTAACTCTAATTTATGTTGTTGCTGCCTTGTCAGGACAGGAAGGACAGATTCCTCCTCATCCTATGGCCCTATGGCCTCTTTTCTGATTCTGACTGAGTCACTACTAGAACTTAATTTCTTTGCAGCTTACCAGGAGTTTTGAGCCAGCCCAGACAGGGATCTACAAGGAAAGGGTGAAAGAAGCCTAGGAAGCAATGGTGGAGAACAGTGTGTATGTGAAGGGGGAGGAGGGGCTCCCATGGAGTGTCTGAAAAAGGGACTGGCCTGGGCCAAGGAACTGCTGGATTTGGCTGGGCTGCTGACAACTGAATGAAGTTTCATTGTCTTTAGTGACCTAGGGTCCCAATTACTGTACCTGACCTGTGCACAAAAATCAAGGCTCAGAATTTTTCATGTTAGAGAAGTGAATCCCAGGACTCATAGGTCAGACTCAGCCAGCCTGATCCCTGTTGCCTCATCCTGGCTGCCCGAGTACCTTTAGGCCAAGTCTCATAGAGAAATGTCATGGACTGAGCCAGCTTGGAACATGGTGAAGGGGTTGAGGACAGACTGGGTGTTAGAAAAAAGCCTTTGGACCAGGCTGCAGAGTAGCAGGGAAGGAGGCTTTGACCCAAAAACTCAACCCTGTTGAGGCTGCTGCAAAGAAGAGGAAATCCTATTTTAAGTTGCCTGAAGAATGTTTCCTATTTATTAAAGATGTTGTTTTTGTTATTTTTTGATTCTCATTGGCATATAAAAGTATGGAATGCTTCATGAATTTGCATGTCATCCTTGCATGGGGGCCATGTTAATCTCTGTTATCTTTTCAGTTTTGTGTATGTGTTGGTGAAGAGAGCACTTACTAATTTTTAAAAAAAATTTTTAGATAAACAAAAATTTATTTCACATGTATGAGTGTTTTGCTTGTATGTAGGCAAGTGCACTCATGTGTGCAATGCCTGTGGAGGCCAGAAGAGGGTGTTGGATCCTCTGGAACTGGAGTTACAGGTGATTGTTAGCGCCATGTGGGTGCTGGGAACTGAACTTGGGCCTTCTGCAAGAGCAGCCAGTGCTCTTAACTGTTGAGCCATCTCTCCAGACCCACTATTATTTATTTTTAAAAATTATTATTGTTTTTTTTTGTAGAAGGAAGTTTATTTGAATTTACGGTTCTAGGGGTAAGAGTCCATAATGGCAGGGAAGGCACGGCAGTGAAGGTGACCTGAGCAGAAAGCCAAGCGATCACATCTTCAAGCAGGCACAGGAGAAGAGCCCACTGTTTTATTATTACACCCTGTAGCCCCAGCTGTCCTGGAACTCGCTATGTAGACCAGGATGGCCTTGTACTCACAGAGATCCGCCAGCCTCTGCCTCCCGAATGCTGGGGATTAAAGGTGTGCGCCACCACACCTGGCTCTATTATTTTTTAATGTGGTGCTAAGGATTGAAACCAGGGCCTGTGCGTGCTAACCCAGCGTCTCTAAGCTATAATATGTTGTTCTTTGATTCACAGTAGAAAAACTTGAATTATTTTTAAAGAACGTAATATTAAAAGACTTGATGAAACCATACATTTTATAGTTAAGTAATTCAGTAGCCAGGCCCTTAAAAAGTATCTTGCTTTTAAGGAAAAAAACAAACGAACAAACAAAAAAAGAACAACAACCCACAACTTTGACTTATATTAAACTTTATAGCACTTGAGAAACAATTGAGTTTGGTTCAGACAGGGCTTTTGACCTTATTAGGTGTTGGCCTCGGCCTAACCATCTGGGGTCCTATTAAATTGCTGCTAAATTAACATCCAGTTATTTCTACTCCCTAGAACATTAATTAATGGCATTGTCTATTAATGTTATTAAAATCAATTTCTACTTCAAGTAACTTTTTTCACAATAGCAATTTGAATTTTTCTTCTGTTTATAAGTGTTACTGGAGAGCAGTGTTTCAAAGGGGTCTCTTTAAAATGCGCTATTCTACTGTATACTAACAGAGTTTCTGAATTCCTAGCAGAGATAGAAAAATAAAAAGGGAGTTTGTAAGCGGTTGAAGATATACCTCTTGATTTCAAAAAAGTTGAAATTTATGAAACAAGGAAATAGCACATCCATACGCATTTTTCCCCAAATGGCTTTTGTATAAAAAAGGTTCTTACTTCTTTAGACAGATTCTAAATTCCAAATAGCCAGCTTACAAGTGTATGCTCTTACTTCTTTAGACAGATTCTAAATTCCAAATAGCCAGCTTACAAGTGTATGCTCTTACTTCTTTAGACAGATTCTAAATTCCAAATAGCCAGCTTACAAGTGTATGCTTTTGGAATGCTGGAATTTGTTTTTCTGAAACTTAGGATTCTGGAGCCACTTCTCTTTTAAGAATTTTAATTAATTAATTAATGTGTGTGAGCCATGGTGCTCATGTGGAGATCAGAGGACAACTTTCAAGAGTTGGTTCTTTCTATGTACCATGTGGGGTTCAGGGAATGAACTCAGGTGGTCAAGCTTGGCAGTAAGTACCCAATGAGCCATCTTGCATACTTTTTTTTTTTTTTTTTTCGATTTTGCTATGTTTCCCAGGCTGGCTTTGGATTCCTGTGCTCAAGTGATCCTCCTGCCTCATAGTTAGAATTATAGGCATGTGCCAATGCACCTGGCCACATCCCTCAGTCCTTTCCATAGACTCCTTGCTGATCTCTCCAATTCTGCATATCTTCTATAAAATACTAGCTGTCTCCCCACAAGCCCTGCCTAATGCACCCCATTTTCAGCATCGACTCTTCTTCCATGAGCCTTGAAATAGCTGAATCTCTGACTGTAGTTCTGGCTTCCCCACAGCCAGCCCTACTGGCCTTGCTCCCCCAGCGCTTGCTCAGTGTCCCCACCTGTACCCCCTTGCCCATCTCACCAGAGTTACAGTGTCGACAGCTCTCGCAGTGGGGTCGGGTGTGATAGTCTGGCGAGAAGGAGACCCCTGGTATACACGACTCACACTGAGCCTTTCTGTGCTGGCTACAGTCCTTCACAAAGAATGTTCCTGTGAGCAGAGGGTCCAGAGTCAAGGCCCAAGCAAGGTGATGCCCCCCAGACTGCTGCAGGCAAGCAACTTGACTTTGCTTGAGCTCACCCTTACCCCAGGATCTTCTCTTAATCTTCAACAGCCTTCCTTTCCCCACTCACAGGCCCTGACGAAGCCGGCTCTTACCTGGTTCACACATCTGGCAGCAGCCTTTTCCCGGAGCCCAGTAATGTCTGGCTGGACAGCTCTTGGGAGCTGGGGTAGCTGAGAGCCCTACCAGAGTCCCCAACATATATAGCCAGTAGGGAGGGGGCCATGCCATGGCTCCTGCCCAGGAAACTCTTTTCTGTGCCCCAGTTGCTGGTGGTTAGGTGCTGGTGCCCTCTCTGCGTATTCTGGGCAGAAGCCACAGTTCCTTTACTTGGGGTGGTAAGCCAAGCTTTGATGGCAGTTGAAGCTCTATTGTGGCTGTTTTTTTTTTTTTCCTCTTAGCACAGCAGCCTCCACCCCCTTCTCTTTTCTGTACACTGACAGAATGTCTGAAAGGGCAAACTCAGCCCTACTGCTCTTCAAAGATACCTGCTCTGCTTGGCTTCCATCTCTCGTTGGCTCATGAAGCAAGTGTTTAACCCATCTGCACTGCTTTGTTTATGGAACAGAGTGTTGAATGTGTACCGCTGCCTCTCCTGTTCATAGGACTGGACAGCAAGATGCCCTCACTTCTCTCTCCTAGTGTATGCTTCCACTGACTCACATGCCATCCCTTTAAGAGATGACCTATTTAAAAAAGGAAAACAGCCAGCCAGCCATGGTGGCGTACGCCTTTAATCCTAGTACTTGGGAGGCAGAGGCAAGAGGATCTCAGTGAGTTCAAGGCCAGCCTGGTCTACATAGTGAGTTCTAGGACAGCTAGGGCTACAGGGAGACCCTGTCTGAAAAAGACAA